CACTCAGGCTTAGAATTTTAAGTCAGGGCAAGGCTGTTAGTGGATGGAGCAAATTAGGCTCGGATGAGTGATGCTCAGGGAGAGGCCAGATCACCTGTACTACCCACCAAGCCTTTCTCACTATGTGATTCCAGCCCCTGATGCACAGGAGAGTAAAGTCTCTAGAAGTATAACATCACCTTGTTCATTTGAAATCTGTGAGTGATGTGAGATTTGTGCCACGTTCTTGGCTTGCATCTTCCTTCCACTACTTCAGGAACTTCCGGAATAGATGGGAGCAGTAAAAAGTACTTTGCCAGGATGTCCTTAAAATAGAGCCATTCAACCATACCCTTGTATTGTGCCTGCCCTTAATATCTAAGACAATAATCTAGAAATCATGGATACATTTTTAAACATAGCATAAAAATCAATTTTCATTCGGATAGGCATTTTAAATCTATTTGTTTTGATTGGATTTAGGGCCATTATCATTTCTTATGAAAAGGAAGATGACCCAGAAACTTGCTATTCAGAAGGCTATGTCAGATGCATTCCAGAAACTGTTGATTGTGGTTTTAGGTAAGACTTTCTTGATTGTCCAAGTACTTCAGTTTCAATGAGCAAATAAACTCATTTTGAAAAATTAATTGGATGAAAATAATGGTTATCCAAAACACTCCATATTCTTTTATTCACTGCTTTTGCAGCAGTGGTCTCAAATTTGTTCTTAACGGCATTTGTGAGAAAAATGGCAGAAAATTTTATTGTTTCCAGTTTACAGATGTGGAATGACTTGCCTCCTTTCACACAGTGTTTGGTCCAGTTCTTTCTCACTTGCTTTCCTCAAATAACATTTTATTCCATAACATTTCATTATAATGTTGATGAGATGCCATGGGAACTTAACTCTCGTTTATACCAGTTAGCCTATCGTAAAATTGGTTTCTTATACATCGTTTTGCCACTGAAGTGAGGAATTGCTATATAGTGATTGTAAGTTCGGGACACCTGTATTTGAGTTCTAACTCTGTCTCTTAGATTGTTTTATATAATCTAATTTTATACAGTTTTAGGTTTTATAGTCACAGATATTTGAAGGTATTTAATACTCTAAGCTGCCATTTTATCTGTAAAATAGGGTTACTAATTCAGCTTACCTCATAGGGGATATTGTAAGAGTAAATGGGATGATGAATGTAAAAAGCTTAGAATTACTCCTGGAACATGGTAAACAGACAAAATATGTTAACTATTATTATCATTGTTGTTTTCCTTTTGGAGAGTTTATTAGATTATGTTTTTGGAATCAATTCAGTTTCTTTTTTGTTTCTGGCAGCAACATATTGGATGAATGTGATTCTTATATGATAATCAGCTGTTTTTGTGAGCCTTGAAAGTTGTCATGCTATTGAATAGTGTTAAATATGTTCCCTGTTGAGTTCTACAGTAGTGTGAATGCTACAGGTTGTGCCCAGAGAAAACTTTATGATCAGTAGAGAGTCCCCAAACAGAATGGCTTCTCTGCTTCACAGCCTTGCAGGCTTAGAGACTGAGAAACCTAGCTTAAGTTGTTGACACCTTATTTGCTTGTAAGAGTTGACTCAGGGTCAGTTTCAGCCTTTCAGCATAGGCAGCCCTTCTGGTGAAGGTTGACTTCCCTGGTCATCATATAGAATCTTCATCAGCTGTCAACTCTGAGTAACAACCTTTAAGAACCAAATTAAATATCTGGGTTGTTTACCTCTCCCTAATATGTTAAGGTATCCCTTGTACACCTTAGATCAAAAAGCCTTATGGCCCTAGTTTGCCTTCAAGGAAGTTGTATTGTATATAAGGTATCTCTCTCTCGCTCGCGCGCGCGCGCTCTCTCTCTCTCTCTCTCTCTCTCTATTTCTATTGTACCTAGTAGAATTTTGGTTCCCAGGGAGTAGACATTTACCTTGCTTCTAATATGACTTACCTACTGTCATCCAATAGTCTCTATCCCAGGTTTGAACTCACTTTCCCCGCTACCGAATACATTACTGTTTAGTCATATTATAATTGAACATTTTTGTTTCCACAGTTTTTACTTCCTATGTCATTATTCCTTAGTTCCTATGTCTAAGGTCATAAAGTTTTTGAACCAAATGAAGTTGATACTTCAGATTTATTTTTTCATGAGTAGATGCGATAAAAAAATAAAAAAACTAAAGTGTGAGATGGAACTTCTAGGAAAATGCTCTTTTTTGATTTTAGAAATCAAAAGCATGTATAATTACTGGATGCTACCATTATATACAGGAAATTTTAGAATAAGAAAATTCTGAATTGATCCATGTTAATTTTATTTCAGAAAGTGGTAAAATAGCTGTTGTGTATAAACCCTGTGAAGAGATCACGGATGCCAAGACTGAAGAAGAACTATGGGATATAATTCAAGTATGTGGAGATAAGGCTCAAGGGTTCCATAGCCAATATAGCCATAATTCAAACAACCAGCAGGGTTTGGAAGACTGGCATATACAGTCAGCTCTGTCATCCATAGGGAATGTGAAACTCTGAAACTCTTGTTGAGTGCAAAGAATTTCTAAGGCTTTTCCTGAGGTCCCGGCCCTTGGCATTAACCCCTTATTTTAAACAGAGCAGGCTTGAGGGCCAGAGTACTCTACAGTTGTGGACACAGGAGAGGAGAGAGGCCTTTTAGAACTCCTCCGAAAAAGGATCCCAGGGATTTGGGCAAAATATAACTATGACTATAAGTGCGATTATGCTACAGCATTTGAAAACTAGTATGCTTTTTAATTAAGGTGTATTACCCAGTTCTCAGCACCTCATATATATTTTGTATGAAATATTTTGCTGAAGAACCTTTCTATAAATCAATTATATGGGTACCCTGAATTAGGGATTAAATTGCCAAAGTAATTTCTATAAGAACATATTAATTTACTACATATAGGATGTTTTTAAAAAGGGGGAGAGCAAAAAATCTTTCATGTCGTTGAGAACTTAATTTGGGAATATATTTCTGGTTATTTAACTCACCTCAAAGCTGGGAAAAAAAGTAGAGAAGGAAAAGGTGGTTATGTTCTGAAAAAGTATTTGAAGTTTTTCTCTCTGCAAAATAATTATTTTAATTCAATTCAATCAAACCGGTCAAGGAAACTTCAAACTTCTCCAAGTTTGGATTTTAAGAAGTCTAACTTCCTGTGAAATGTGCAAGGGTTTCAATATTGATGCTAAAGATTTCAGAAACCTGATTATATGATTATAACAGATCAATTCCTAAATGAGGCCGATTTTGGAATCAGTTCCATTTAAAAACCATTACTATGTGTTAGACACTGGGAATAAGATGCAGTCCCTTCGTCCTTGGAATTCACATGCTAGACGTCATGTCAGACAATAAACAAGGACTAAAATAAAATAGATTATAAAAAAGGCTGTGAAGGAAGTAAATTGGCTGTCAGTTACAGTGTTTCAAGAAAATTATTTAACATGGTGGCTTTAACATCCTAAGTGTCTTTTCCATGTGTGCACACAGGATAGACCTCTGAAAAGTAGAATTGTTACTTTTCTAGATTAATGGCTATGTTGAGCCAAGGTGAGTTGAGGGACATTTTCCCATGCCATTGTGAAAGGCTATTCACTTGGTTTCAGACCCTGTTTCCCAGAATGAATTGCTCACCCTCCCTTCTATAGAAATTTTGGATTCATCTCTGATTCAGTGGTAGTCCCTATCTAATAGAGATGAATTAATAATCACACATGGATACTGAGATTTTAGAGGAAATGGTAACATTTAAAAACTAACTGTCAAATGGTGTCCCCTCCCACCACCCTAACTGGTGTTCATTTTGTAGGTCGGCTACTTTTCTTGGAAGCAGTATGGCCAAGGAGAGGAAGAATGTCTCTCAGATTTCAGCTTAGAGGAGGAAGAGTTCAGATTGCCAGAACTGGACTAACACTTCTGAATTTCCTGGGATACAGGGCCCTGTGGCTTCCTTGAGAAACTCTGCACCACCCCACAAAACCCTCACCTCATTTAACCCCCCACCCGCCTACCCCTAGGCTGCTGGAGTCCAGGGCCACCCAGATGTGCAGCCTAAATCCTGCCTCATTGTGAGGGGGTGGGGGGCCCCAGTGGGAGGTAGTTGTCGCCTCTGAAAAGGGACGCTAGGACCCTGGTGATCTGGGGGAAAGCCTTGCTCTTGCGCGGGCTTTCTCCGCCCCCCCCCCCCACCCCGAACCTAATAAAGATGGCGTAAATAATAGTGTCGTAAATAAAGGGTGAGACGTGAAGCAGGGGGAGGGGCGCGCGGTTGCTAACGGCGCGCGTCACAGGTTGCCATAACGGTTCGGCTCCCGCTCAGGGCGCGGCGCCGGCGCCCCATTGGCCTGGGTCGCTCGCTGCGCCCGGAGCCTCCGCATGTCATGTCCCGGCTGCGCCTCTGGGACCCACGGCTTCTCTTCACTTGGCAACTGCTGTGGCTGCTGGTCCTGGCAGCTCAGCCTCCGGTGTTGGCCCTGGACCCTGTCCAGCTGACCTCCGACCCCCCGTGGCTGCCCGAGCCCTGGTCTTCGCACTCCTCTGATTTCACAACCGAATCACCCCATGCGCTCATACCCCCGGCAGACCCAGGGGGCTTTAATAACCTGGGATCCCCTGCCGCAGACCAGATGTTGGCCCTGCCCCAGGAGTTGACTGAGACTTTGGTTCCTTTCTCGGAAACGGATTCAGATGGAGACCTGCCCTCAGGGTCAGATCAATTTGCTGTTCCACATCAGGATCCGAATGACAAGCTAACCCAGCATCAGAGGCTCCCACAGGAGGTTCCAAAGCTAAACTGGGATCAGAATCAGGCCCTATCTCTGCCTCCTCAGCTTGAAAGTAAGATTCAGTCTGCAGATCTAGGTCAGGCTGTAGATAACCATTCACTTGAAATCCTTGTTCCGCCTCTAAGTAGTGGGAGTTCAAAACCAGCAAAGCTTATTGTTTCACCCCCAAACCTGAAGCAAGATCTAGCTCAGCTTTCACGGTATGCCAAAGTTGTTGGAACTCTAAGCCAATTGGTAAAAACATCTCAGCGTCAAGAACAGCAGTTGCAGGATGATTACTTAGATCCCAGTATGGGTATCTTTCATCCTGAGGAGAGCCTACCTATGGATTTCATGCCAGATAAACCTTCCAAGTCACCTGAAGAGGTTGAAATTTCTTCCCTGCAAGAAGCCCAAGCTCATCATCTAGAGCCTCCTGAGGAGTTTGAACCTTCACTCCAGCAAGAGGCCCTCACTCAGCATCCACAGTCCCTTGAGGAGGTTGAATCTTTTTCACCACAGGCAGAGGCCCAGGCTCAGCGTCCAGAGCATATTGAAAATA